GTACTAGAGCTATACATATAACATATTGTACTAGAGCTTATATATAACATTTCGTACTAGAGCTATACATATAACATATTGTACAAGAGCTATACATATAACATATCGTACTAGAGCTATACATATAACATATTGTACTAGAGCTATACATATTACATATTGTACTAGAGCTATAGACAGTCACAACCAATGAGATAAGCGTATAATGTGTACTTAGAATAAGTAACAATTAGTGTGGGTATCTTAATCAACTAACTGAGTGTGGATATGATGTGTCATCAACACCAGGTGTATTGTTACCCGTTACCTACAGTTATTGATCTGAATCAATGTCAATCACAACAGTCAGTGTTGTATCCTGATGTCGGACGTGATAAGGCATGACTACATCTGCCCGTTCACATGGGTTTTTCTCCGGATACTCCGGTTTCCTCCCACAATTAGACCCCCGCGCGCGAACATTCAGGCCAATAAGAGTGATTGATATAAGTTGAAATAACTTGTTTTATAATTGTTGTAAAATAAATAAAGTTTATACATATGTAAGTCAGATTAATGTCACAGTTTACATAATGTGTCACGTCATAGCACTATATATGACCCCGGTTAGACAAACTGGGTCATAGAAACGTTCATCTGGATGGGTATAACTTACAATACCAGTACAATACTGTATACCCAGTAAATCGGTGCAGCTGTACTCGTGTGATTCTAAGTATAGACATACCCCTGTAGCCACCTTGGTTCACTGCCTACCGATAACATTGTTGTGTTACTTACACGGAATGTATCGCTACAGTCGGGGTCAGAGTGATATACTCGGTACACGTGGCTATACTCGTCTCGGTGGTGTATGTGTAAACAACGCTGTACGGCGGTTAAAACACATCCGTGGATCGTAAAGAGGCAGTATAATGTGAGTAGTAAAGCGGCCGTCACGTCACTGAATACGATGCCTACGTCACTAGCAGTCCACAGGTTACACGTAATGCTACAGGGACGATACATAGTGATATAAGTACGTTTGTACTTGTCATAATGTATTATCTAATTATATAAACACATACTCATTAGTATAAACTATATGTACCGATATATTTTCAACAGTGGTATTGACCAGTTTAGACTTAGCATCAATTCAGTGGTATTGACCAGTTTAGACTTAGCATCAATTTAGTGGTATTGACCAGTTTAGACTTAGCATCAATTCAGTGGTATTGACCAGTTTAGACTTAACGTCAATTCAGTGGTATTGACCAGTTTAGACTAAGCATCAATTCAGTGGTATTGACCAGTTTAGACTTAGCATCAATTCCATTGTGTATACGTAGCTGTTATCAAAGTTTTAAAGCTGTAACCACGCGTGTGTTACATCAGGGACACTATACTTCATTATTCGTCCCTGGTTACATTCATGAATTATCATAAAAAAAATTATGATAAAAGTGCTAAATTTGAACTTGAATTTAATATATCATTATATTAGTTGTTTGGCGTGTTTTAAACTACAAACTTTCATTTAATCTATACCAGCGTGTGACATAAACATAATTAATATCCTGGAACTCTTTGTGTTAATTGTTTCTCCTGAACTTTTTTTAATTTAGATAAGTTCTATTTATGAAGCTTTTCCTTTAAAGTCGACATGTGTCATTGTTGTCAGGTTAACTCATGTATTTACTTTGTCCAGCTTATATCATATATCTTTCAACTTAATTATATTACGTAACAGGATTAACTTGTCATACCAGATCGGACACTGCATTCTATCTCAGACAAAAGACAGCTAAATTGGCTTACCTGGTCGAGTACGGCCTTGGTCTGAAATGCCGATTGTTATAAATGACAGATGTCACTCAAACCAGGAACGTATAATGGAGGGGATTAGCGACTCCCTCTTTGCCTTACCAATTTTATGACACGTCAATCTAGACTTACCTCCCCCTGATTCAGGAGCAGTAGGCGAGCGCCACCTATCTCAATTTTGAAAAAGCAAAATGGCGTCGATACCGCTACGTTAGATGCAGAAGTTGGTGTGAAAACAAACCAATTTCGATAAGTGTTCTTAGGTCTTTTGTTTATCCCATTGTTATAAGCTGATTCAGGGACGTATAGTGAAGGGGATTAGCAACTCCCTCTCTGCCTTACCAATTTTATGTCTCGTCAATCTAGACTTACCTCCCCCTGATTCTGGAGCAGATAGCGAGCGCCACCTATCTCAATTTTGACAAAGCAAGATGGCGTCGATACCGCTTCGTTAGATGCAGAAGTTGGTGTGAAAACAAACCAATCTCGATAAGTGTTCTTACGTCATTTGTTTATCCCATTGTAATAAGCTGATTGTATAACTTTTAATTGATAAAATCTGTGGTATCATAGTAATTTGTGTCTCGTTTTTGGGTTATATTTTTCTATTTTTAAACGCGATGTAACGCGTGGTTCAGAGTATTGTGGTGGGCTTCGATAGACAAAAATGCGGGATAAAAAATACCCACATGTATGTGAACCACCTCACTCCAAAAGTATTTGACCGATCTTTTTTAAATTAGCAGCAATAGAAAGCTGAATAAATTTTATAACGACCCAACCCATTTTAATTGCAAATAATATAATTGAACTTGTGTTATTTTTGTGTCAAAAAGACTAAATATCTGCATCATTTTTCACTGGAACGTAAATCATTATTGCGAAAGTAGTTGGTAACTGCTCACTGTTTTGATTAAATTTCATAAACTATCGATTATATTTTTTAAAACAATTAATATCAATAAACAGCTGAGTAATTTCTATGTTAAGTAGGCCTGATTTGATTTGCATTACTTGGAACGATAGCGATGTCACAGATGAAATTACTCGTCTGGTAACGAAGGACACGTGTTGTTAAAAACCCTAAACAAAAATGCGGGATAAAAAA